TTTGGTGGTAAACACAAGAAGCAGTCGTGTCTCGTTCCGTGTCCGTCCCCCCCGCCTCTTTGTTGTTTATTTTTAATTAAGAAAATAAAGGAACCCGACACCACCCACGCAGCCCTGCCCGGGCCGCAGGTCCCGCCCGCCTCACCGGGAATTCCCTGCACCGGGTGATGGCGGGAGCGAGCGGCAGCGTCCCTGCTCCCGGCAGAGCTCTGGGAAAGGCTCAGAGCCAGGGCTGTTCCTGGGCTCTGACAGCCCCCGGCTCCCTGCCATCACCCCGTGTTCTTTGGGATGGGCAGATACCCGCAATGGGAAAGGGACACTCGTGTCCCCATCCCAGCACTGTCACCTCCTCCCAGAGCTCCCCAACCCGCTCTGGGTTTCCTCGTGGTTTTTCTGCTGCTTTGACTCCTTTCGGGGCGATCGGTGCTTGCTCGGGACATTTTCTGCTGCTGCTGCTGCTGCTGCTGCTGCGGGTCAATCCAGGCTTACACCGAGCAGGAAATACAACATCGGAGGAGCAGCAGCTGCCAGGAGCCTCTCCCCCTGTTTAACCTTAATCCAGGAGGAGGCCAGCAGCGCTTTCCTGCTCCCCACAGCTCCATCCCCTCACAGCACAGACCGTGGCCAGCAGAGCCCCTCCTCAGAGACAGGAACTCGCCTCCAGCCTCTGGAAGAGAAGAACAACAACAATCAGAACCTCAGCAAACCCTCTGAGATGGAGCAGGACCGTGCAAGGGCCGCCCTGAGCCTGCCCCGAGCAGTCCTGGGTGTGATGGAGTGTGCAGGATTTTCCAGCTTCCTCCAGGTCCTGCTGCCTTTACTGAGTCAGGGACTGCCCTCAAGGAAGCCCAGCTCGTTTAGCCCCATTTTGCCCAATCTGTTCCCTGGCAGCCCCGGGATTTTCTGAGAGTAAGCAGGGAGAGAATCCCCCACTCTGGATCTGATGATGCCCCTGTTCTCACTGCCAAACACCTGTAACCTATGGGGTTTGTGCTCTGAGGAGAGCAGCAGCAGCAGAAGAGCAGTCTCCCAAGCCTTATTATATTTTAAAATGTAATAACAGCACAAGATGTCTATTTTGGTAGACAGAACAGATCATTTCTGGAAGAGGCCCATAAATCTCAAGCAGAGGGGAAATAATTTGGCCAAGGTCATGTTAAGGCAAAATATTAAAATAGAAAAAAATATATTTTTAAAAAGCAGCTTAGAGCTGGACTGAGGCACCATCTCTGTTCTAAACCTCTCTCCAAGCCTGGGAATCCTGTCCCCCCTGCCCTGCTGTGAAAATAAAGAGGAGAGAGCATTACAGCATTAGAGCATGGGGATGAGACACACGTGAGGGCCTGGCTGAGTGGGGAGACCAAGGCAGAAGAGAGCAGGGACCCCAGCAAGGCCCCTGGCAGGATCCTGCTGATCCCTCTGCCCCAGGTTCAGCCCCCTGCAGCAGCTGGGGAGGCCTCAGGCACTCAGAATATGGGAGTAGGGACAGGCTGGGGTGTCCTGATGTTGGCAGAGGTGGGGAAACACCATTGCAGCACTGATGAGGAAAATCCTGTCACTGTCCTCACCAGCAGCTCCTCCATCCCATTGCATCCCAGCACAGGCACAGGGATGGGGAGAGGCTCAGATTTGGCACCACCTGGCCCCCAGCACGGTGTGTGCCCAGCTTTGGCACTCCTGTGGCACTCAGGATATGGGATTAGGACAGGCTAGGCCATCCCGATGTTGGCAGGAGTGGGGAAACGCCATTCCAGCACTGATGAGGAAAATCCTGTCACTTCCTCACCAGCATCTCCTGCATCCCGTCCTATCCCTGGCAGTGCCATCCATCAGCAGGGCTGTGCATCCCAGCACGGGCACAGGGACGGGGAGAGGCTCAGATTCGGCACGACCTGGCCCTGAGCAGGGTGTGTGCCCAGCTTTGGCACCACCTGGCTCCCAGCACGGGCAGCACCTCCCGGTGGCACCGGAGCAATCCCCGCCATCACCGGAGCCACCGGCAGCCTGGTTCGGTAGAAACGCCACGACAAAAGCTCATCATTAAGGGACTCAGAGCCTCCCCTCAGCCCTCAGCGCTGCCCCAGGGCCGCTGGGACGAGCCAGGACCCCGCAGGGCCGGGGCTCGGCAGCCAAGCGAGGCGTCCCTGGCAGCTCTGAGCGCCCCTGGCAAAGGGAACACGACAAAACTGCTGCTCGTAGCCTCTGGCTGCTTCCCCGGGCTCGCCTGCCAGCTCCCCGCATGCCAGCGGTGCCAACCCAAGCCCTGCCCTGCCCAGGGGCATCCCCACAGGTGACCCGGGCCAGGCACGGGCCGGGCACGGTTCTTTCTTGCTCTGGTGAGAAGGAGGCGGCATTGAACAGCCTCCCCCGAGAGAGCTTTCCTCTCCCCTTTCCTCCTCCTGCGCAGATTTAATTTCTTCTATCGCTCCCTTCTTCCCTCAGCGAGATCAAAGGAATCGGCGGAACCGGCGCAGTTCGGCGGAAACGGCGATTAAAGGAGAGGGGGAGGAGGAGGAGGAGGAGGAGAGGAAGAGAGGAAGAGAGGCTGGAGGAGCAGCTGGCTCCTCGCAGTGTCCGGGCAGGACGGGCCGGGCCGGGCAGCGCGGGCCGCACCGGGGGCTCCTCCAGCCGGAGCACCGGAGCTCCTATGGCACCGGGGGCTTCTCCTGCCGCGGGACCGGGGCACCAAGACACCGGGAGCTCCTCCAGCCGGGGCACCGGGCCCTTCTTCTACCGGGGGTACCGAGGGTTCCTCCGCCCGGGTCACCGGGGCTCCGCTGGCCGCTCCGCCGGGCTCCTGCTGCCCCCTGCCGCCCCGGCGGGACGGGACCGTGCCCGTTCCTGGCCGGTGGCCGCTCGGAGACCCCAGCCCGGGTTCTTCCATCCCTGATGTCCCCCAAACCCCCGCGGGCCAGCGCTGCCACCTCCGCCCGTCCTGGTCCGGTACCCCCCACATCCCCGAGGGGAAAAGGGGCTGCCAGATCGCCCCCGAGGCCGCGATGGCATCCCTGTCCCCCAGCACATCCCCGAGCCGGGGCCACCTCAGGCTCATGTGGCCGCAGCAGCGCCCGTGGCCGCCGGCCAGGGCAGGGGATGTTTGGGGGATGTTTGGGGGATGAGTAACATCCTTCCTGGCAGCGCCGCTGCCCGCTCCTGGAGGCTGCTGCAGGCACAGAGCGGCTCAGCCCCTTCGCCCGCCTCTCTCAGCCTCGGAAAGGAGCCAGAAAAGCGAGGAGGAACTCGTGTGCCAGGGAGAAGGGAGGGAGGGAAGGAGGGAGGATGCTGAGGATGCTGCGTGGCACGGTGGGAAGCAGCCAGGAGGCGCAGGTTGGGGGAGGCAGCTCCAGGCCCCCTCTAGAGCAGGGCTGCGAGCCAGATCCCAGCTTTGTGCTGCCAGAAGCGGCTTGTTTTGGAAGGGAGGCGCGTTGGCAGAGCGCTGGGTGTGCGTGTGGAGCTGCTGACGCTGCCGGGGAACAGGGACGGCTCTCATCGGGTCCCTGCCGTGCCTTCAGCCCGCGGCAAGATCTGCCCCAGCACAAGCAGGGATTCCTTCCCAGCTGCATCCCCAGCTCCTGAGTCACTCCCCGAGCAGGGTGGACGCTCAGCACATTGCCCAGGGCTCACCCCGAACACCAGAGGGGCTTCCTGGGACTCACCAAACAGGATGGACAGAGCTCTTAACAACTCTGACCAATCCAGCGAGGTACAAACTGGAGCCTTGAACCAGGAAACAGGCACTCAGGGCTCATCCCAGCCCTGGACTCTGCTTCCCTTCCCCTCAGCTCCTCAGGAGCCCAACCCAGCCTCTCCAGGATCTCAGACCCGCCAGGGTCCGGCTGGAAGTGCAGCAGCACTGAGCAGGTCTAGGATGGATCCAAAATTTCACCAGGGACCTGCTCTGCCTTCCCCAGGAGCTCTGGGGCTGAGGAGCCAGCACAGGCTCCTTGCCAGCACCCCTGTCCCTGCAGAGATGGGCCAGGAGCACACCCGGAGCAGGCATCTTTTATGGAAAATCCTTTCCTTAGGATTTTTCCTCCTGAGAAGCCTCAGGAACAAAATATAAACAATGGTTATCTGCTGCTGTGGATGCAACAGGTGGGTCTGTGATTGGTGTCATGTTGTTGTTTCTAATTAATGGCCAATCATAGTCAGCTGGCTTGGACAGAGAGCCCGAGAGACAAACCTTTGTTATGATTCTTTCCTATTCTATTCTTAGCTGGCCTTTGGATGAAATCCTTTCTTCTATTCTTTTAGTATAGTTTTAATATCATATATATCATAAAATAATAAATCAAGCCTTCTGAAACATGGAGTCAGATCCTCATCTCCTCCCTGATCCTGGGACCCCTGTGAACACTGCTACAAGTGGTGACCCTGAGTGAGGAACATTCCTTTTCCCTTTTCCCTAGTTCGGCTGTCTCGGACTCTCTGGTCAGTCACAACTTTTTATTTCTATTCCATTCCTTTCTATTCCTTGCTAGCCTTCTGATGAAATCCTTTCTTCTATTCTTTTAGTATAGTTTTAATATAATATATATCATAAAATAGTAAATCAAGCCTTCTGAAATATAGAGTCAGAGCCTCATCTCTTCTCCCATCCCTGTGAACACCATCACACACACCTGGAGCAGGCAGCTGTGCCTGGACAGGGTTTGGGAGCTCCTGCAGCTCTCACATGTGGCTTGGCATGCCACGAGTTTGGTCAGGTCTCAGCCCATCCCCGAGCAGGGCACAGCTGCGAGCTGGGGATGCAGAGCCAGCCCTGCCCTTGGGAGCACCACACACTGCAGCATTGTGGCCTGGCTGGTTTTTCCAGAGCTGCATCCAAGGGGCGCAATCAGATCTGCAGGGAAGGGAGCAGGCACGCTCCTGGCTGGGCACGGGAGCTGTCGGGGCAGTGCCAGGAACTGGGGCAGTTGCTGGGCACCACAACAAATCCAAGGAAAAATCAAGCAGGCAGCTCCCAAACCTGAGCTGTGCCTCCAGGAGCTGCTGAGGCTCTGCAGGGCTTTGTTTGCAAACCCTGGCACTTCCTCCAGCTTTGTTTCACATCAACAGACGTTAAAGAACCAGCCTGGAGGGCTGGGATGGGGGAAGGACCCTGGGAAGTGGTGGTGGTGGTGGGAAGAAAGCTCTGGAGGAAAACAGAGAAGCAGCGTCAGGGAAAGGGAGTTCCCTGCACGCAGGGAGGTTGTTTTTGATCAGGGCTTGTCTAGACTGGAGTCACCCACACTGCACAAGCACAGCAACAGCACGCAGCCAGCCCGGGGCTCCCTCTGATCCCAGCAGGACAGAGCTGCACTCAGCATGGGCAAGAGCTGACCCTGGCACTGCCCATCCCACCCCAAAGGGCTTGGGGCACCCTCAGGCTTCCAGGTGCTGCCTCTCTGCCCCTCATTCCTTCCCTGTGCCCCCCAGGCTGGCCCTGTCACCTGTCCCCAGCCCCTGGGCAGCAGAGGGACACAGGGCAGCTGCTCCAAGCTCCCAAATCCCTCCCTGCCTCCCCCAGCCAAGGAGCTGCAGGCACACACAGCGTCACTTTTTCCAAGAGCCTCTCCCTGCTTTCCCTTCCCTCCTCCCTCTCAGGGCTGGGGAGTGCAGGAGGCTCCTGGATCAGGGCAGCACTGTCAGAGCTCAGTGCATCCCTCTGGGTGCCCAGGGTTGCCCAGAACCCTGCTGGGGGGCTCAGAGACCCTGGCATGCAGCCCAAAACACCTGGGGATTTGATTTTGACCCCTGGAGCAAATGACCAGCTTTGTATGAGGACCTGAAAGTAACAGAAGTTTAAATACTATATTAATAAAATGATCACAGAGTGAAAACGTAGATTTTAGGATTTTTGGTATGGGGGTTATGGGGACAAGATGGAGGAACTTGGGCATGTCCTGCCTTTCTCCTTCTTGTTCTCCATTTTCTGCAGTGATGTTGGCACTTTGGGACTGGTTTAGAGTAGAAGTGCACTGTCTAACATAGGTGATAGGTATTGGGAATTAAGGGTAAATATGTTATATGTAGTTTGTAGTATAAAAGGACAACACTGAGAGTGCCTGTGGCTGCCCTGCTGAGCAGAAAGAAAATTTTATAGATAAGAATTAATAAACAACCTCAAGACCGAAAAGTGAAGAGTCCAGACTCGTTCTTCAGTTGCACGAGCTGAAGCAGAGACACAGCACCAGGATGGAGCTGGCTGGGATGGGCTCTTGGGCCCCCATGATTTCCACAGCTCTTCTTCAGCTCCGGCACAACCCCTGTGAATGGTGAATGTGACATCTCACAAGGAAGGAGCACCTGGCTCGAGGTCCAGCCCAACTGGGAGAGTGGTTTATCAGCCCTGGGAGCTCCATCCTGTCACAGACATCTTTCATGGAAAATCCTTTCCTTAGGATTTTGCCTCCTGAGAAGCTGAGAAGCCTCAGGAACAAAATGTAAACAATGATTATCTGCTGCTGTGGAATGCAACAGGTGGATCTGTGATTAGCCCATGTTTGTTTGTTTCTAATTAATGGCCAATCACAGTGAGCTGGCTTGGACAGAGAGCCCGAGCCCCGAACCTTTGTTATCATTCTTTCCTATTCTATTCTTAGCCAGCCTTCTGATGAAATCCTTTCTTCTATTCTTTTAGTATAGTTTTAATGTAATATATACGATAAAATAATAAATCAAGCCTTCTGAAACATGCAGTCAGATCCTCATCTCTCCCTCATCCAAGAACCCCGTGAACACCATCACACCCACCTAGAGCTGAGAGGCTTCAGACACCTTTCTCTAGGAAATAAAAACCCCAAACACTTAAACCCATCCATTTCAAGGCCAGGAGCATCCATAAAAAAAAAAAAAGAGAACAGGCCTGACACAGACATTCTTTAAGGATGATCTAATTTAAAAACAACATCATAATGAAAATGCATGTACTTTAAAAAGAGACCCACAGCACTGCAGTGCTGGAGGCAGCCACGTGCCAGTGAGGGGACTGCTCTGTACCCATTGCCCCCGCTTTCCCAGGACATTTGGACAGCTCCACATCCCCGTTTTTATTTTCCTTTACCACAGAAAATGTCTCCCCTAGCCCCGCCACACACCCTAAAGCATCAGCTGAAGCTGCAGGAGGGACAAAGGCTGGAGCAGCAGCTCCTTGCCCAAGCCAGGCGTGAAGCAGGCAGGGGGCAAACAGCTCTGGCTCCCAGCACTGCAGAATTGGGCACAGCCAGGGAAGAGCCTGCCCAGGCACCCTCTGCTCACAGCAGCTGCTGGCGGGCAGGGCTGCTCTTAAAGGTAATCAATGGAGCAGAGAGGAGCTCTGGATTGCTTTAATCCTCTCCAAAACACTACAGCTAGCCCTCCTGCTCCCCCTGTGCCTGTGAGGATTTGTACTTGTGTATGGCTGGATCATTTGACAGGGACAACACACACTGGGCCCAGGCAGGCTCAGCCTTCCCACCCCAGGAGTTTGCTCTTGCGCTTTGCCAGCCCAGTAAATCCAAAATCCACTCCCACGTGCCACCCTCCCCTCCCTCCCTCCTCACAGAGGGCTGGGACAGCAGCCTTGGGGTGTGACTCAGGTGCACAGGGAGGGAGGACATCCCCTCCCCATGGGCAGGGTGCTGGCATCACTATGGGCACGTGGGAGCAGGCAGGGCTGTCCCACCCGTGCCAGTGTCAGCCAGAGGCACCGGAGCCGTGGGGCCAATGGTGAAGGCAGAGCCAGCTGTGCCCAGAGCCAGCTGTGCCCAGAGCCAGGAGCATGGCAAAGGGCAGGGCTGGCTCACGGGGCTCCCCTGTAGCTGTAGTGATTGTGGTCAGGGTCAGTCAGGGTCAGGGGCAGGCTGGGTTTGCGCTCTGGGTCCTTCTCCTCGCACTGCCGGGGCGGACGCTGCTTGAAGAAGTCAGAGACGTAGTGAACCTGAAAAAAAATGGTTTGGGGACACTTGGTCAGGCCAGGCAGGAGCTTATGAGCTTGTTGTAGTGGGTTTTTACTCTTTGTAATAGTTTTGGTTTTGTATCCCCGTATTTTTCCCAAATGGTTTACCGCAGATTGTTCCCCCTCCCTCTACCTGTGTGATCCCTTTCCTTTGCTGAGATCACCCCCAAATCCCCACCCTGGCTCTGTGTCAGTCACTCACCATCCCATCCCCTCCATCTAGAACTTTCCTCCAGGTCATGGAGTGATCAGCCAGAGACCAGGGGTCAGCCCCCCAAGTGTTACCCCATACACTGACCTAAATGTCCATTTCCCAGTATCCATACCTTAATTTATCTTATTGGTCAGCAAATGTTATCTAATTTATGTCCCCATCTCCTTTTAAATGCAACCTTGGCACCTCTCTGGAGGCTCAGCAGGAGCCCCCTGAGGGGTGGGAGCTCCCAATTCGGATTAACCCCTGCTAAGAGTCAGCCCTTTTATCCTCTCCTGGTGTCTCTTCTGCTGCAAAGGTGACCAGCCTGGCTGCCCTCAGGGCACAAGGGAGTGTCCCCTGCTGTCTGCTGGGGTTCCTGAGGGGCTCCCAGAGGCAGGAGGGACAGGAGCTGCAGAGGGACACTCACAATGAGGACGGCAATGAGAGCCCCCTGCAGCAGCCCCACCAGCACGTCGCTCCAGTGGTGTTTGTAGTCGGACACCCGCGTGTAGCCCACGTAGATGGCGAAGGCGATGAGGAGGAACTGGATGGTGGGACGAAGCAGCCGGGCCCATTTCCCCACCAGGCGGGCCTGCACGTACAGCTGGGGGGCAGAGAAGGGAGGATTCACCCAGGGCAGGGTCAGCAGCCACCCAGGGATGGGGGTTTGGGGTTTGGGAGATGTGGGGGCTCCATGGCACAGCACTCACCGCCAGGAACATCATGCAGTACATCCCAAAGGAGGAGTGTCCCGAGTAGAAGGACAATCTGTGGGGCAAAAAGGGATGGGTCAGGCCATGAGTGAGTGCAGCCACTATATCTGCTGAAAAAACCTTTCTTTAGGATTTTTTCTCCTGAGAAGCTGAGAGGCCTCAGGAACAAAATGTAAACATTGATTATCTGCTGTTGTAGAATGCAACAGGTAAATCTGTGATTGGTCTCATGTGGTTGTTTCTAATTAATGGCCAATCACAGTCCAGCTGTCCAGACTGTCTCAATCAGTCACAAGCCTTTGTTATCATTCTTTCCTATTCTATTCTTAGCTAGCCTTCTGATGAAATCCTTTCTTCTATTCTTTTAGTATAGTTTTAATATAATATAGTGTATATTATATACTATATATTATATTATAATATATAGAGCATATATTATTACATATGTATATATAATATATACAATATATTATATATAATATATACATATATGTATATATTATATGTATATATTTAATTATATATATAATACAGTTTTAGTATAGTTTTAATATAATATATATAATGAAATAATCAAAATCAAAATAAACAATAAAATAGATAAAATAAAAATCAAGCCTTCTGAAACATGGAGTCAACATTCTCATCTCTTCCCTCATCCTGTGAGCCCCACCACAAGCGAACCCCCAGCTCGTCCCCTGCCGTGGGGCTGCCACTGTGAGCAGGTGGCAGAGACCCATCCTGTGTCACCATGGCTCACCTGGACTCGGTGACATTCCTGCTCTCTCCCTGGCACACATTCTCCAGCTGCACATAGATGGAGCAGTTCACCTTGGACCAGTCAGGGTTGCACACAGCCAGGAAGTTTGGCCTCAGACGGCCGATCATGTACTTGGCCAGGTCAGTCAGGGACTGGCTGATGGCTCCCCCGAAGAGAAAGGTGCCCACCACCTTGTAGAGGGCAGCCAGGTAATTGTTGTACTCTGATTTGGAGTAGAGACGCTCGGTGTAGACCAGGTATGCCTCCCCTGATGAGATCTGCAGAGAGCAGGGGGACAGGTGAGGGCTGGGGGCTGTGAGCTGTCACAGACATGTTTTACAAAATATACTTTCCTTAGGATTTTTCCTCCTGAGAAGCTGAGAAGCCTCAGGAACAAAATGTAAACAATGGTTATCTGCTGCTGTGGAATGCAACAGGTGGATCTTTGATTAGCCTATTGGTTGTTTTTAATTTATGGCCAATCACAGTGAGCTGGCTTGGACTCTGTCTCAGCCACAAGCCTTTGTTAGGATTCTTCTTCTTTCTTTTTCTATTCTTAGCTAGCCTTCTGATGAAATCCTTTCTTCTATTCTTTTAGTATAGTTTTAATGTAACATATACCATAAAATACTAAATCAAACCTTCTAAAACATAAAGATCCTCATCTCTTCCCTCATCCTAAGACCCCTGTGAACACGGTCACAATGAGCAGCTCCCAGGGGTGCAGAGGTGAGGACTGGGGGCTCTGAGCAGCTCCCCAGGGGTGCAGGATGCTCTGGCTCTGTGGCAGAGCATCCCCCCTGGCATCCACCTGCACAGGAGCCCACAGACCCTCTCTCCATCCCATGGGATGTGTCTCTGCCCACTCCAAACCAGAGCAGGGCTCAAGCGGAGGGTGTTGCTGCCCATCCAGAGCTCTGGAGGAGGCTCTGCTGAGCTCCCAGATACAACCTGACCCTGTCCTGGAGGGAAGGGGTGGCAGTCCTTACAATGATGACAGTGCAGCTGATGGTGACCCCGGCCATGAGGCCGTGGGTGATGGTGTCAGCCTTGTAGGGGTAGCGGATGGAGTCATCGTTGCAGTAGAAGCCTCTCTTGTAGGGGGAGTTCACCAGGGTGAGGATGATGAAGGGCAGAGACGCTGCAAGGCACACAGAGGTGAGGGCTGGGGACAGCAGCCAGCACACATCTCTCACCCCTAAGTCTCTGCTACTCGATGCCAGGGAGGGATCCCCCCAAAGAATGAATTCCTGAGCCACCTGTACCCAGGGCAGCAGGACCTGAACCCACCAGCGCACTGCCCTGAGAGCGATAGGGCCCTATCAGAGCTCCCAGATGCCTGCAGCACCCAGATACCACAGGGGACAGCCACAAACGGGCACCCACGGAGCCCCCAGGGCTGCCCCGCTCCTCCCCAGGCACAGCAGGGGCAAGAACTGAGCCTGTGCCCTCTCCTCACACTGCCCAGCCTAGGGAGACAGAGCTGATAAAATTAACGAGCACAGGCATCTTGTAAACGTGTTTTATGGCAGGGAAGGGCCCCCAGATGGTCCCACAGCAGCTCCAGGAGAGGCAGCACTGGGGGATGCTGAACATGACCCAACCCAGGCACAACAGGACTTCACTGCACTTGGCTTGCTCCCCTCATCCTCCTGTCAGCCTCTCCTTTCCCCCAGTTCCTGCGGGCTCTGTAGAGAGGCTGTGCTGGCTGGGTCAGCCTGGACAAGGAGGATTTTCCACCCAGCACGCTGGGGCAGCTGCGAGCTCACCCAGGATGAACTGTCCCCAAGATACAGAGGTGTTTTGGGGTCTCTGCACCGCAGACCAGCCTGGAATGAGCCCCCCTGGCCCATCCCTGCTCAGGGACAGCCAAGGACGAGCCCAGGACGCTCCCCAGGGAAGCGCCCCCCCCTCCCCGGAGGCCACCTTAGGCCGGGCTCCTCTCCCAGTTCCGCCTTTCCCGGTGGTTTCCGCCTCCCCTTGTTCCTCTGTCTCCCGGGAGCCCGCACCTTTGTCCCCGCCCGTCCC